ACACCCACACCCACCTTCCACTTGGCCCGGGCGAAGTTCTTCTCGATCTGGGCACAGACGCCATCCTTTATGTTCTTGTCAGAGGCAGCATTCCCAGAGATCCTGAAGGAGCAGTGAGGGGTGAGCTACCAACCCTACCCGCCCCCCTGGCTCCCCATCTGACCCTGCTGCTGCTCACCACTCATGGGAGATGGCCTCCTCTGCCGTGATCCTCTGGTCCTGCTCCACCTCCATCAGGCGTGTCACCAGCTCCTTAGCTGGGGGCACAGGGGGGGAAGTCAGTGCTGGTAGGGGACAACATGGGACCCCACATACCCCCCCCCCAGTGTGGGGCTCACCCGCTTGCGAGATGTCATCCCAGTAGGGCGGGTCGAACTCATAGTCCCCGGCCAGGATTTTGCGGAACAGGTTCTTGTCGTGGTTCTCATAGTCATCCTCGTCTGCCTCCTCGTAGAAAGGGGGGTTTCCCGAGAGGCTGGGGAACGTGGTGGGGGACTCAGTCCCGCCCCAGCCCCGAGCCCCTGTAGCTACCCCGTCCCTCAGCCCACACTCACAGGATGTACATGATGACGCCGATGGCCCAGCAGTCCACCGGCCGCCCGTACCGCTGCCGCCCCACCACCTCCGGAGCTGCCAGAGACAAAGAGCAACCAAACCATCCCCCGGGGTCCCCAGCCACCCAGCCTCTTGGCCCTGGCATGATGGAGAGTGGGAGGCACCCACTGGAAGCACCCAGATTCAGCCCCCAGGGTGATGGGAATGGGAGGTGCAGCAGCAGAGAGTAAGGAATGGATGGTAAGGAGCAGCAGAGATCTGCTGGGACCCAGCACTGCCCACCCCTGCATGCCCACCCGGCTGGCTCTCACCCACCCAGGTACTCAGGGGTGCCACAGGGCTCCTTAATGAGCCCGTTCTCCAGCTTGGCCAGGTGGAAGTCACTGATGACGATCTTGGAGTTCTTCAGACGATTGTAGTACACCAGGTTCTCCAGCTGCCGGCACAGGGACTGTGAGTGCCCGCACGGGGGGCATGGCAGCACCCATGGGTGCTCCTACCCCCCTCTGCCACCCACCTTGAGGTTTCTGTGGACGATCTTGAGTGAGTGCAGGTAGGCAACAGCCTCTAGCACCTGCCGGATGACATTGCTGGTGTCCTTCTCTGAGTAGTAGCCCTGGTCCAGGATCCAGTCGAAGACCTCCCGGCCAGTGGCCCTACAGACAGCAGCTCTGCCGAGACCCAGCCATGGCGGGGCTACTCCCTCCCCACTTCCAGATGTCCCAGACTTACAGCTCCAGGAAGATGAAATATTCCTTGCGGGTGATGTAGACATCCACCAGCTGTAGAATGTTGGGGTGCTTCACCCTGCAGAGAGCCAGGGGCATGGGTGGGAGTTCCCAGTTTGCCCAGTAGCACAGGATCCCCTCCAGCCCCAGCACTCACATTTTGAGGATGATGATCTCGTTTTTGGCTGCCTTCCGCACTTTCCGCCCATCCCGCTTCAGAAACTTCTTGCAGGTGTACAACTTCCCCGTCGTCTTCTCCTTGGCCCGGAAGATTTCACAGAACTCCTCCCTGCAAGGGTACCCCCAGACATCACCCCATTCCTGGGCACCACTGAGATTGGGGTGCTTGGGTTGTCCCTGGGCCCACCAGCGTTCCCCCAGATCCCAGCAGTCAGGGGAGATGCCACAGAAGGAGAAGAAAGCTGTGGCTCAAAAACACTTTGGAGGGGAAGAAAAAACAGCAGTGAGAGGCAACTGATATGGAAGGAGCAAATTAATAGGGGAGGGGGAGAATTTGCTGGTTAAAAAGCCCCATCCTGAGGACAGGAGGGGTAAGACCCACGGTGAAGCCACTCGTGCCAAGGTGGAACAGCAGCACACCCACATTAACATCAGCACAGCAGTCGGGGAGAAAGAAAGGGAGATGTGCCGGTAGCTGCAGCGTTTCTGTGTTTCTGTTCTATTATTCATGGTGCTTGAGCCCATGGCCAGGCTGCAGCTGCAGGGGAGCCCTGGGGGGCACTTGGCACTGCTCCAGCAAAGCCATTGGCTTTCCAATCCCCCCAGCTGCCCTGAAACCCTCACGGCCACTGCCCTGGGTGGAGGGGAATGGTGACCTGCCGGCTTTGGGACAAACTGCCCAGAGGATGGAGCAAAAATCTGAGAGCACCGAGGTCCCCACTGCCACCCAGTGTGACCCAGCCAGGTGTGACCTCTGTCCAAGCAGGTGTTTTGGAAGTTGATAGAAAAAAATCTGGTGTCTATTTTGCAGTCAGCCCTCTCTCAAAGGGTGTTAGGGCTTCATTTTTTGGAGTGCATCCTAACAGGTTCCTCAGCATGGCAATAAAAGTTGGGGGAAGCAGCAGTGCAGTGCTCCACTGCCCCCCAAGTGACATCTGCCTTTCCTTTGCTGTAGCTGAGCCCTCCTGATTCACAAAATGCTCCAGGGAGCCAGGATCGTGTGGAATTGCTGCAATCCCTGCAAATCTTGAGGGGAGGAGGGAGGGATATGGGAAGCTGCCCAGCTGCAGCCAGCAGCAGTGGGAAAGCTCACTGCCCTCCTTGGAGCTAGCTGTGAATATCCCACATGCAACCCACGAGCAAGAGGGACTAATTAGGGTAAAGCCACCCCAAAATACACCCTGCAATCCCGGCCCAGCTGGGGACCAGCACCCCCAGAGCCCCCACAGGCTGTGTTGTGCCACTCCTCAGCACCCCAAGAGCCCCATACAGGTGGCTGGGGTTCCCCAGGGCATCCATGGGGCCGTGGAGGGACCAACTCACGTTTTGATGACCTGGCCCAGGTCATATCTGTCGGTCACCTCAGACGGCTGGTTATAATCTTTCTTGTCTCCCAGCGTCACGCAGCCAAACGGCATCGCAGGGCCCGGTGCTGGCAGGGCAGGGAGAGGCAGTGAGTGCCCCGGCACTGCCACCCCCCTGGAGCCACCGCAGACCCTCCTAAGCCCTCGCTACCGGGCCCTGCTGGCACGGCACGGCACAGCACAGCGTGGTGTTTGGGGAGCTTTAGGCTGGGCAAGGGCTGCCTCCAGCACTGTGCCAGCTTCCCATCACAAGGTCCCGCTCAGGCCCACCTGAGAGGGCTGGGGGTCCCCAGGCAGCTCTGTCATCTTCTGAGCTGTCAAAAAATAATTTCAGCTGAAACTTCCTCCCGCTAACACGGTGGGAAAGGGGAAGAAATCACTTTATGTGATCAATTTTTTTTTTTCTGGGAAGCATCCAAGAAGGATCTGGTTTTGAAGAGTTCCCAACAGGGAAGCAGGGGGCAAAGCATCCTTCCTAAAGGGCTGGAGAAGCTGGCGTCTGCCAAGGCTGGTGTCCTGACTGCTGCCTGTGGCACCTCCGAGCTGCAGTGCCACCTGCCTGGTGCCACAGTCGGGGCTGGTTGGGGATGGCAAGCTGAGACTGGTGTAACCCACTGCACATGTGACAACGTGTGACAGTGCTCTGCCTGGGGAGGCCCCATCTGCTGAAATGTTACCGTGGGCAAGGCTGGGCTAAGGAACAGGAAAGGATCCGTTCACCTCCACTTGCCTCCCCAGTGGGTGCTCCAGGCACTGTGCTAACCCTGACTGCTAATTAATCATTAATAATCCACCAAGAGGGGCTGGATGGGGAAGCTTGTGGCTGTGCTGGCAGCCTGAGCCCGGGCAGAGAGGCTGG